TATATATATATATATATATATATATATATATATATATATATATATATATATATATATAGCTTACCAGATTAAGTAATATCTCTCAGGCACAGGCACTGACACAAGCACAAGCGTTCAAACAACAGAAACAAGATTGGCGGATCTTTTAGACAGCACACTTTGGAACAGGAGACTTGCGCCTTCATCGGAACGTATTGTTTATGCTTTAGTACAACAAATATTTCATGGTATCAGAGAATATTTCTTGGCTTCAGCCGAGTTAAAGGTAAAAAATTCCATCTGTGTTAAACACATAACAGAGTATGACAAGACAAGACAGAACATGACAGTTCTTGTACTTCACAAATATCAATAAAGCAAAAATTGTATTTTTCTGTCCCACCCAAAAAAGGTGGGACAATCTCTTCATTGATATTAGCCCTAAAAAGCTTCAGTTCTGTCCAGTCCTACAAGACAACACAAGACAAGACAAGACAGAACATGACAACTGTATACTGTACTAATATCAATGAAACAAAAGGTGGGACAGTCTTTTCATTGAAATTAGCCCTAAAAAGCTTGTCATTTATGACAAGACAAGACAGAACATGACAGTCCTGCACTATACTGCACATATATCAATAAAACAAAATTTTTAATTTTGTGTCTCACACAAAAAGGTGGGACATCTCTTCATTGAAATTAGCTCTAAAAAGCTTGTCTAGGACATTTCAAGTTTAGTTCTGTTAAGTCCAGTTGACATTCTTTTGCAGTTCAATTGTTTTTTCTTAATGCCGGTTGTGGATAAATTGCCCGCACTCCTTCGAGAAGATTTAGAATCTGCATTCCAAGATGATCTTGATAATGTTTTTGATATTACTAATTTGCGACATTCATTGGAGCAACGGAAACGAGAAACGGAAATTGAAATGAAACGGGTATTTCTTGATATATATATTTTTTTATTTTTCGAAAAATATGATTTGGTTATATATTTATGATGTATTGGTTTTTAAGTTAATTTATTTGGTGTTGGAATCTATGCAGATACAAAGGCTTAAAGATAAATTCCGAAAGATTCATGAGCAACTTAGTTTGCATCAACATTGATTTGTTTTTCATGAATCTTGAAAATAAAATGGAATGTCCCTCATCTTGTCTTTTGATTGTAGTATTTTGTGTATAAAAATGCAAGAAGGATGTGATGCGTACTTGAATATTTATTTGAAACCTGAATTTTAATTAAAACAATAAGTGCTTCATTTAGATATATTTTTAGAATTATGGTTTGGTTGATTTTAAATTAGGTCTATAGTGCAGCGATGGAAATCTTTTAGTATAAAGATAATGATCAGACCAAAATATTTGGTAATTCTGAAGAAAATTTATAGAATGAAATCGAAGGTTATTAATTTCAAGATTACTCATCAGGAAAATTTATAGATCGAAAATTTGAAATAATGTTATTCTGGTCGAGATGCACACGGACCGGGCCCAGGTCAAACCGGTCCAGATTTTTTTTTTAAAAAGAAATTATTTTAATCCACACTATGAAATTACAACTTTTATATTTTTACATCTATTTATAAAATTTATGGATAGAAACAAGTTCTAAAAGTACCAACATAAGTGTAAAAATTTTAGAAAACAAAAACAAAGAAGAATTCGGGGTTGAATTTTTGTCCATTTTCAGCCCAAACTTACAAACCATAAACTGTACATCATGTAATGCATTTTATGATGTTGTTTAAGATAAATATATGTTTTTATCATATTAATTTGAAGCCTTTTAAGATAAATATATGTTTTCAATCATATTAGTTTGAAACACTTTCAACTCTTTAACTTATCTGTCTCTTTCAAAAAAAAAAAAAAAAACTCTTTAACTTATCTGCTAACTAATACACCTTGAAATGCATTTTAAGTTTTTAAATATTGATATTTAATTGGTTATTTGAAATATGTTAATTTTAATGGTGGCATCGGTTAGTATTAATTGCAATTAACTTTTTTAAATAATACCCACTATAACTACATTCTTTTTATCTAAATAATACTTTATTGGTTAGTTTAAATATGATATTAGTTTCAGTACCGACTTATGTTAGTCCCATAACTCCCATACATTGTAAAACTTAAAAATGTTTGACTATCCATTTAGTTGATAATCATACATAAAAATGATATCAATTAATTAATTGGTTGTAAATGCGTGTTATTATTATTATTATTTTTTATTCTTTTATTTTTTTAATATATATTTTAACAAATGACTAAAGTCTATATTTAAACACATTTCTAGTAAGAATATCATACATGATGTATAATATTTTGTTCCCGTAATGAGCTTAGTTAACATATTTGTATGATGAGAATATTTTCATTGCAAATCTTGCAAGTACTCAAGGTAATTGCAAGATAATGATGTTGAAAATGTCAAACATTGTAAAAGAAAATAGTGATACAAGCTATTCAAATATTTCAATTTAAGGTATATTTGACAAATTAGTTGAAATTTGAAAAGCTAGTTACTAGGTTAAAAATTAGTTTATAGCTTTAAAACTATTTGCCAAATGATAAAAAACGACGTTTGATAAAAATTAGCTAATAAACTAGCTTAAAAATATAAAATAACATAAAAACACAAAATAATTAAATATAAGAAAAATACATATACTAAGCAACAACACCCAATTATTCGTTTTAAAAAGAAACATCTTCTTTTCCATATAATAAAAATATTCAATTATTTATACCATAAATCAAAATATAATATAATAAAATATAATGTAATTTACATAAATATTCCCTTATATAGGTGCTAAAAACACGTTTAGTCTTTATTTTCAAAAATTAACTCGGGTCGTCTCTTAAAACGTAAAACGTTGCACGCTTAGTCCCTAACAACATAAAATGACTATATTGTCTTTTTCAAATTCTTTTTCAACAATTTTTAATATTTTTGATTAATTTTAATAATTAAAAAATATTTTAATTTAATTTGTTTATTTATTATTAATTAATTTTTAAAAAAATGTAGTGAGCCTCCCTACAAAAACTCCATCCTCTTTTAATAAATACTCTTTACCTTTAAAATCATTTCTCCTTCTCTAAACCTGAAACCACGGGCCGTCTCCTCTCTATGGTTGTTCACTATTTGGATAAAACCGAATCGTCCAATTAGACAATTTGGATCGAACTATTTGGTGCAGATATTTAGATTTTTGGATTGGCTTTTAGCAAAAACGGATTATTATTTTGGATTTTGGATTGATTTTGGTTTATAAATTAAAAACCAGATAATCCAAAAAACCGAATAACAATTTTTTTTTTGTTTATTTTTATGATATATCTTTAATTATTTATAAATTTACTAAATTATTTTTTAGTAGATTAAAAATTTCCATCTATTATAATAATCTAATAATATACTGCTTATCAAAAGGTTTTTTTTTGTCTATAAAATAGTAAACTATGATATATTGGTAGTTGTTTATAAATTTTAATTCACAACTAATAAAATATTTTTCTCTGATTTCTATTACAAAGCGGGTTAGTACTAAAGTTATATATTTATTAAAATATCTTGATTCTTGAAAACTAAAGTGTAAAAACCGATCCAACCGAATTATTATTTGGTTAGATTGGATTGTATTTGAATTTATTTTGGATTATTTGGATCCACATTTTGAAAACCGAAATCAATTTGGATTCACATGATTTGATCGGATCGAACCGATCCATCCAAACGAACATCCCTACTCCTCTCCATCATAAACCACTGTTTATCGTCGTTGACTACCCCTGTCCACCGTCGACTACCATCGGAAGCCACCATTTTTTTTTCTCTCTCTCTCTCTCTTTCTCTCACTCTCTCTCCCCCTCTCTCTCTCTCTCTCAGACGGCCAACGCAATCACTGAATTTGTTAAAACATTAATCGCCGACGACCAACACCCTCACCAGATCTGTTAACACCGTCGACAACGATTTGGGCCACAGGAAAGTAGATTTGGACCACAGGAAAGTAGCACCTATTTTCTCTCCCTTTTTTCACCTGATTTCTGTTTCTCTCGTCACCAAATCTACATAACCACAACCTCATATCTAGGGTTTCGACGAGTGAAGAACAGATTTGTGGGTTTCAATAGGTGAAGAACATATCTGATTGCTTTAACAACGCTAGGGTTTCAGACAACGCTAGGGTTTCAAGCGATGATGACGACTCAAGGGTTTTAAGAGAAAATCATATGAGACCAAAGGGTGAGAAACTGACAGTGGTAATGTTATTTCCGACGATGTTCCTACATCTTTGACGGAGGTGGTACTTGTCGGACATGAATAAAGGAAAGGAAACGAGGTGGTGGTTAGTGGCGGTAGCCAAGAGGGTTTTCAATGGTGCTCCATTTTCCGATGATGGTGCACATTTCTGGTGGTGGTCTTTAAGTGTTCTCCGACAAAGCAAAAGAGAAATATATATATTAGGTTTGATGTTTTAAAAGGGTTAGGTCTACCCACAAATTTAATTAAAAAACTTTTTAATAATTAAAAATAATCAAAAATATAAAAAATAAATAAAAAATAAATAGAAAAAATGTATTATAGCCATTTCATGTCTCACCAGGGATGAAGCGTGCAAATTTAAACTAATGAGGGATGAAACGTGTAACTTTTAACGAAATGATGGACAATCTGAGTTCATTTTTGAAAATAGAGATTGAATGTGCATTGTGACACATGAACAATGGACAATTCATGTAATTTACTCTAAAATATACATGATAACAAAACTAAATAAACAAAGTTTCATAGCTGGTCCTTGTGGTTTTCAATGTAGCAACTTGATGCCAATCTTAGAAAGTGCTATATCGTTGGGGACCATTTGTGTAGTTTAATCTTAATATGATAATTAAAACAAGTAGAATACAAAATCAAATAATTTCAAAAACAAATTACAAACGCAAAATCAATACATGTTTGGAAAATCAAGGAAAAAGAGGCACCATCATCATCCAAGACCACAATTTCATCCATCAATCTTCTTTCAACATTGTTTCCATATCCCACATCCTCGGTCATCTAGTCCACCAAGCCTCTCCAACCATCACCGCCTCCCCTTTTTCCACATAGTCTATAGATACACCATCTCTATCCATCCTATTAGAGATATAGTTGTTGCTGAATAATAGGTCCACAACCTTATTTTTTAAAGTAGTCATAATTTGAATTTGTCGAGCACGATAAAAGTTAGTTCCTATTATTTTTAGTTCCTGTTTTGTTTTCATAAATTATTTGAAGCCATGATCTTTCTCTTAAATCGAGTTCCTCATTTTTTAAAGAAATCCAGGTTTAGAACTAACTTCGATTTCAAGAACACTATATGGAGAAAACTTCAATTCCAAGAACATGGTATTTTACACACCATGTTTCTAAAACTTGACAAACATCCATGGCAGATCTGAAATGAATTCTAGAAGTGTTTTGAATAAACCCTAAAACATGATGATCTAAAGCATATCAAAAACCTAAAATATGAATAAACACACTTTCTTGGTGTTATTGAGTAAATCTAAACCGATTTCTTGAGCAAACCTTTAGTTTTTTAAGAATAAAACCCTAGAAACGATTTCATGGTTCATTTTTGAAGGGCCAACTTAATTTCTAGAAATGAAATAAAAGGTTGTACTGTGTCGAAGATTCAAATTCAGATTTCATACACACACATATGAGTTCTTGAATGTTTATGTGACATCCTCCATTTTTCAGAACCAACTAAAACTTTTTCTTTACACTTTAAAATTCATGTTGTCTCTGTTGCGGAAAATCCCAGTTAAATAAACATTTTGACATAACAAATATTATTTCAAAATACCAAAACATTAAGGATGCCATAATTAAATATCCAACATATGTTAAAATGTAAAGACATAAGGCCCTAAATAATATTACATGCTTGTCTCTTATTTCCCTCGACATCCTAAATTAGATTCCATCAGCCTTAGCACCGCTACCTGTGATGCATATAAATTGAGTGGGCTAGGTTTGGGAAAACCTGGTGAGACACATAGGGTTTTCAAGCCCATAATAATTTAATTATAACAAATCATATTAATAATCTTGTGACAACCGTCAAAATTGAGTCAAGTCAAAGTCAAACAAAGTCAACAAGTCAAAACCAATCGAC